ATTCTAATATCTCTGATTCCAATTCAGTACCACTGGGATCTTTTATGAGCCTTTCCCCTTTTCTTGTTTATAGCTTCTTTCTCTAACAGTAAAAAGACCAGCTCTCAATATTTATAATCCTAGATTACACATAAAGCAGTTACTGAATTACTAACTCATACCCCTGTGAGAAATAGATTTAGTAACTAGAGTACAGTATTTACTGACAGTTCTTTTTGGGTTTCACCTTACAACATCCTGCCGAAATAATGTTTTCCAAAGTGACTTAATTGTTAATTCCCATCCCCTTCTGTGTGGTTATCTTATTTGTCTGGGTCACGCTCTTCATTTGTAATACAATTAGCTTCATTTGTTACTGTTTGTATTCTATTTCCCTTTCCTCCAGATCCTTGCTGGTTTTAATTTTTTTTATTTGGGGAGGTATGTAAAATGTTACTGTGATGCACAGTCAAAGCTATATCCAAAGAGATACTCCCAGAAGTGTTCATCCCTCCTGAAACCCTCACCCCCTACATTCCATGCCCCCTTCTTCCCTCCCCTTTCCCACCAACCCCGTATAGTTAAACAGTCTCCATATTTTCTGGTTTATCTTTCCCATATTCCTTTTTCACAGAAGAGCAGATTCATACGTGTGTGTGTTTTTTAATTATATTCTCTTTTTATATGGCGATAGCACACCATATAAATCCTTGCACTTTACCTTTTTCACGGAATGATTTGAAAGTCCCTAGTGATCTTCCCCCCTCCGTTTTTTTACAGCTGCCTAGTATTCAGTTGTGAGAGTATAGCATCATTTAACCATTCTCCTGCGTATGGGTACTTAGGCCATTTCCATTATTTTGCAATTATAATCAATGCTCCGATGAATAAACTTATATATATATGTAATTTTGTATTATTAAAATATATTTTTGGGGTAGATTCCTAGAAATGGAACTTATTAGTCAAAATTAAGTACGTATGTTCTCATGGCTTTCAGATGCTCTGTATGCCTATGGAAATGCCTCCTGGTGGGTTAGTGTATATCCTTGATCATTATATGAGTTACTGATTTACAGTTTTTAACTTGTGTAACTTTTTAGAATTTAACTTTTTTTTGTTGTACTTAGCACATTAAAAAGTATATTAAATTTGCATTGAGTTTAGGGATTAGTCTTGCATAATTTATCCCTTTTCAAGGCTCAGTAAATATCATTATAATGTGTCGACAGGTCCTAATGAAGGTAATAATCACACATTACACTTACAGCCCTATCGTCCTAGGTGCAGTCAGTGAGTTCATGCTCACCAGTGGAGAGTGGGCAGTTCAGGAACTGGCATTGACATAATGACTAAGTGCTTATATAATGCTCTCATTGGCCCAGAGCATTTTATTTTCAAAAACTCTTTTAAGTCTTTTCATTTTATATCAACTGCACCACTGTAGAATGCTTTGGGGAAATATCACGTAGCTCATGACATTTATGTGGGACAAAGTCCCTTCCATGTATTACATCATTTGAACCTCCAACCAACCCTGTGAAGTAAGCAGGACATAGAGTCAACTTCCCCATTGTCCAGGCGAGGAAGCGGAGATTCAGAAAAGTTACTCTATAGATTGTGGAAGTTAAAGATTCTATGGGGCGCCTGGGTGGCTCAGTCGTTAAGCGTCTGCCTTCGGCTCGGGTCATGATCCTGGGATGGAGCCCCGCGTAGGGCTCCCTGCTCGGCAGGAAGCCTGCTTCTCCCTCTCCCACTCCCCTGCTTGTGTGCCCTCTCTCGCTATGTCTCTCTCTGTCAAATAAATAAATAAAATCTTTAAAAAAAAAAATAACTTCATCAGAAAGACTCTCCCTCGTGCCCCCCACTTAAAGGTTATTCTTAAAGTGACCAGTCCCTTTCCTTTGGAGCATTTGGAGCAATTTAGAATTATATATACTTTTGCGTTTGTTTCACATCTGTCTCTCCTACTAGAATATAAGTTTCAGGACATCAAGGGCTCTGCTTGTTTTTGCTACCCTTTGTATCTCTTATGCTTACCCCCAGTGCCATTAATCATTGAATAAATATTTCTGAAGTGAATCCCGCCACGTCCTTGTACTTGTTTTTAGGTCAGCCCCACAGAAGGGCCTGCCGCTGCCCTATCCTTTCCCATCTCTCTGCCCTTCCGTATGCCATTTTCTTAGCCCCACATACTTGCCCTCACTCTTTCATTTTTCTGGAGAATCCTTACTCATCCCTTACAACCTAGTTCAGCTCTTCCATGAAGGCTCCCATGATTTCTATTCCCCCTTGAAGAGTGAGAGGCTCCAGTGCCCCCGGGCATGCTTCTCTAATAGACCTAAACCACACTATAGCCATTGGTGTGTTCAGCTAACGTTTTTAAGAACCAACTCCTCCCTAGGCACAGGCTAGATGCTGGGCATACAACAGGAATAGGAGCTGTCATTCTAACGGAGAGATGGACCACAACAACATAAACAAATTAATAATTACATTTCCAATAGAGGTAAATGATAGGATGATGAGTTTTGAGAAGCTGACCTTTGACTTGAGATATGAAAAGTGAGGAGTTAGGAATGGGAAGAGGTGGGGGATGAGCATTGTATTGTCACTGTTTACTTGGGTGATCCTCATTTCTACCCCACCCTGCCACCCTCCACCCCCAATCAGCTGGCCTCTGCGCTCTGTGCATCTTTCTATCCCCACCACCTAGTACACCTGGCCCAGCACGTGCCACATCGCAGGTCCACATGCCAGTGATGCAGCATGTTAGAATTGCCCAGTGCCTGGCCCCAGCCTTCTGACTCAATGCATCTGATATGTGGCCAGGGCTGAGAGCCAATTCTCAGCCTATTATCCACTCTCCCACTTAGTATCTTGTGACTGGGAAAGTTATTCAGTCTTTCTGTGACTGATCCTTAAAATGGAAATAATAATAAAACTCCATAAGGTTTCTGAGAGGATTAAATGAGACAATATGCCTAAAATTCTTAGCCCAGTGCCTAAAACGTGGATGGTCAATAGATATTGGACAAAATGCTCTAGAGTGAGTACTCATAAGGAGTTTGCTGAATAACTAAAGGAACTAAGGAATAATAAAGTTTAATTCTTACTTTAGTATATAGAACTGTGTCAAAACAAAAACTGAATACCCTGATTTATCCTCAGTTGTCTTATTTAGTGCCTATTTTAATTTGGACAAGAAAGGAAAAAAAGGGGGAATACTAAACACCAGAGTTTTTAACAGTTAGAATCAATAGCTATTGACTCTTCATTTGCTTATAAAGCAGCCTCTGAACAATCCTCAGATCATTTGTTTTTACCCTTTTCTGGCTAGTACAGGGCTTTCATGTTCTAGCCCCAAACCTAAATAAAAGTACACAATCCTTTGTCGTCTTTTGAAATCACAGTTTGAGCACTCTGTATTCAAAGAAATTTCTTTTATGTATCTTCTACTTCATTTATCATAGTGAAAATTATGACAATACCAGAGATAACAGTTTTCTTAGGGCAAAGACACCAATGGGATTAACCTGGGATATTGCTTCCACACACAAAATATCACTCAGAGCGTTTAGCAAACTTTTGGCAGATCCCCCTCCATCCTGCTCCCACTTCTTTAGAAACTAAATGTCGAAGTAGCATGCAAAAATGAGAACATGAACAAATTCGTGGCGTGAGGAACTTCTAGGAGAAGAAAAAATTTGTCCTTTGTAGCATTTTCACTGGAAAACACTGGGATCATGGTTGTTTTTGTAAACCTTAAATGTCTGACTACTTAGAAGTGCTTTGATATTTGAATGCATGGGCATGAATTTTCTATTTAAGAAAAAATTACTGAGGTAACTAGCAAAGAGATTTTGCCAAGTTCTTTTCTGTGAGCTCTAAGAGTTAACATTTATTTACATGAGTAATTCACTCTGCTCTTATCAATCTAGTCAATTGGAAAATATCATCCGCCTTTAATGTCACAGAAATCAGCGCATCCTATCTTAGAATGAGGAAATAATTAGCAAACAATTTCTTTCCTTTTTAATATGTGTGGCATTGTTTTCAGGGTTTTCATTTACAAACCAGTGCACCATAAACTTGTTCTGGCTGGAGGTATTGAAGTCTGTTTTCCTGCTCCACAAATGTAGAGGTGTGCACGTCTCTCAAATCAGAAGTCCGTAGCAAAGAGCCACCTTCACTGATTGGTTGCTCTGACAGGGTGAGGGGTAATGGAGCAGCGATAAGTAGTGCACATTGTAGATTATGGGATAAGCATCTGCACTTTAGTTTAGCGGTACAACGCTAAACAGTCGAGAAGACTAAAGATACCGATAGTCTGCAGATGACAGGCTTCATTTTATATGTTAATAGAAGGAAGACTTCTGATAATGGTGAGGAAATTCACCATAACAAATGCATTCCCTTTACTGCACTCCAGCATGGCACCAATTAAGTTCAACTGTATGTATAATGTACTCTTAATTCCTAACAGTGCCAAGAAGGACTAATGTGAAAAATATTATATAGTCTTACATTTTACAGATCATGAACAGATGGAAAAAATTATGCCAATCGGTAAAGAAATTCACTGCACTATAACACACCTCAAAATGGTGCTTACATGGATTTTTCTTTTTAAAAATTATTCACGTTATCTTGGGTAAAGTTTAGTTTTCTACTTGGGGTTTTCTGTAACCTTATATATGTAATTCGTTTTAATTTATTCCTTCTGCAGATATGAATGTTTGAAAGTACAGGTAACCTTGTAATGAGTAAAACTGATAAGAGGTTGTGTTCCGACAAAAGGGGAATTATGGAATGATTATTCACTTTGTGAAAGGGTTTGTCATAGAGCAAGCTTTCCAAAATCATTTCAGATTTAATTTCGTTTACAAAACACTCGTTTACACACAACCTTTCAGGAACAAGTTTAGTGGGGAAATGAGAGGAATAGTCATAATAAGATAGAGGCCCCTTACACTGCTAACATTTATGCTTGCTGTCTCTCTCTCTGTCCCTCCTTGCAGCCCTGATAGCCATCGGCCGGTATAGCATGACGATAGAGACTGTGGACGTCGGATGGTGTAAAGAAATTACAGATCAAGGAGCCACCCTCATTGCACAGAGCAGCAAATCCCTGAGATACTTGGGGCTGATGAGATGCGATAAAGTAAGAGTTACCTCTCAAATTTGTTTTCTATATATCAGTGTAGGTAATAGCTTTCTATCATACTCTCTCTCCCTATATGTACAAATGTGTACATGCACATACATGTACTATTACAGCTACGCATTGCAAGATGCCTGGTTTTCTAAATGAATCTGAGATTATTTTTGCATTTCTCTGTTTAAAAATGAATTCTGTGCTTATGCAGAAAGGAAAAGCAGTCATACACACAGTCAAATTAGATTTTGGCCTCCTCTCCCTAAGTCCATGAACCAAAATTAAAAATGTTTGCATGGCACCCAGCAATGTGCAGGGTCTAACAGTAAAATTCTTTTCTGGGTTCCAAGTTTCCTGCAACAGTAAGGTGGAAAGAACAGTGCCAAATTGGTTTCTCGCAATTTGAAGTGTGTGATTTCAGTGTTCAACATCTATGTATTCTAGCCATCTGGGGGCAAGAAAAGACCAGTGAGGGGATATTATGTGGGAGTTTGCACCTTTCCACACTTAAGATGCCACTTTTAGCACATGATGAGAAATGGTCCCAGAGGTCCCACTGACGGTGTATGGAGCTGGCCAGGAGATGTGGGTGTGAGTTAGGGAAATTGTGCCACATTTAATATGGGGCCCTTTGAAGCCTGAGAAGAAAAGCTGATAAAAATCGGTACCGATCACCAGCCACGACAGAGGTGCTTTCCCCCTTGTTACTTCCATGTCTCCCCTGTAAGTCTAACAAGTGGTTATCTGCACTGTGACGGGGAGAAAACAGAGGCTCAGAAAGACCCAGGCACTGGCCAGAGGCCACTTATCCAAGATCTGACCCCAGGTCTTTGGAGTCTGGGTCTGGTGCTTGCGGCACACCCTGGATGCAGTCTCCGGGCACAGGGACTGCTTTCTTGGGAAAGATCACCCTCAGATACTTGCTCAGAACTTGCTAGCATCTTAAAATAATTTATACATGTGTGCCACTTTTGCAAATGGTGCTTAGGGACAAATCTAGCAAAAGAGAGTGAAACTAAATATATATGTCTCTCCAAGGACATGCATTTTTCTAAACGTAGCATATTTGGGGGCAAATAGGAGAATGGCCCAAATCCTTTGTGTGCTATGTCATTTTTGTTAATTGACCTAGTTCCTGTCTCCAAATGCTTTAAAATCCCAACTTATACTGGGCCTTTGCCAGCTAGTTATGTTTAGAGAGAATTTACTGTATATTCTCAGCCCAGCCTCAAAAGCTGACTGACTGTTACTAAGCAACAGCACTGAGACCCAGGGGTTGCAAGTCTCCCTCAAATTTCACTACTAACCAACCTGATGCTGCTACTAACACCTGTCACCTTAAAATGACTTCTTTTAGGGCCTCCTGGCTGGCTCAGTCAATGGAGCATGTGACTCTTGATCTTGGGGTCAGGAGTTCGAGGCCCATGTTGGGTGTAGAGATTACTTAAAAATAAAATTTTTTAAAAAAGAAGATTTCTTTTTAAAACAAGTTGAAGAGTCTACAGTAGACAGAGTATTCTAGAAACGTGAAACAATGACAACAGCTTTGCTCAGTGTCTGCCAGAAGAAACTGCTACCTGAGTACTCCTAACCAAGGACACCAAAATGTATGCATTCAAAATATATCTGTGTATCCACAAGCATTCTTGGAAATTACCATATTTCTAGTCCACACTCTTTAGATTTGTCGAGGTCAACGCTCCACCTTCAGAGATGAATTGTAGAAGTTTATGTTCCAGTTAGTACAGGAGATTATTCCAGACATACTTGCTGACCAGCATTTTGCTAATTTTAAGTTAAGGAATGGATCCTTTTCTACCCAAATGCAAATTACTCCAAAATGAGATGGGGAGGCTGTTCTGATTAGCGGTATCGCGGTATCCCTGAGAGAGTGTTAGTCCTTTGCTCAGGCGGCCTCTGAATCCTTTCTCCAACCAGTGAGCTGCTCTGAGAGCTGCACCACCCTGCCTGACCTTAGCCTGCTGCCGTGCGGCCTGGCCCGGGGGATGCTGGGTCCAGCCTTGCTGCCTGGCGTCCTTAGGCTTACGGCAGCTCAGCGCCAGACATGAGAGGTTCTGAGAGGACAGAAGAAGCTTCCAAACCACCCACAAAGTGCAAGGAAAGCCTTGCACGTAATAGCCTGTTTGTTGATTTAGTTGGATAGAAATCTAGATTAAGTAGCTACTCAGCTTTCAAAATTTGTGTTATGCAATCTGTCTCCAGATTTTAAATTTTTATCAAGACTCAGAAAGACTCGAGTAGCAAAGAGGTTAAAATAGTTGATAGGTCACGGACTTAGAGGCCAGAGTTCAAATCTGGGCTCTGCTCTCCATAGTGTCATCTTGGGCAGTTGCTTACTCAGTGCCTCTGTTTCCTCATTTGTAAAATGGGAATAATAATAGTATCTATCTTATAGAGTTGTTGTGAGCATTTAAATATACCACGCTCTTAGAATAATCATGTTTGTTGTATGTAAAATACTGAGTGCTACTGATTATTATCATCAGTGTCACATTAACCTGTGTTTTGATATTTGAAATTTCCAAATGAGAAAAAAATTGTACTGCCTGCTATCCAATTTTGAAAAGAAATTAAAGAGAGAAAATATAAACTGAGATTGGAGAAGACATTGTCCTTTTACTTTTTCCTCTGTTAAATTTAAAATTAAGATTATTATTTTCTATACTAAGATGTCAATAATTACATTTTCTACACACTCGACAAAGGAAAACTAATACCTCCATGGGACACTCTGTATTTCGAATCAACTTACAAACCTGGGCATAGGGATGAAGAAAGATTTGCAGTGGAAGAAAAGGCTGAGTTGAAGATAAGACAATTCAAATAGGCAGGGAAACAAAAAGAAAGTAATAATGATGGAGAAAAATAAGAATAGAAATAGAAAACCCAGAGAAATCATGACCAGGATATGGAGACGAAGACCCCACTATCTATCCCAATGTAATCATCTGTGCCAACCAATAATTGAAGACCAAAACTAGTTTGGGTCTATCAGCCTTCTCTCTGTACCTTAACCAAATTTGCTAACCTATTATAATGCGCCAATTTGATTTCCTCCCCTTTCTGCATACCAACTGGAGCCAAAGGAGAGGCAAGAGACCTTGATGGTCTACACAATTAACCCCCTTGTCAGGAATGTTGTCGCTGGGATCCTGCTCTGGGGAGAGACGGGGTTTGTGACGTCTGTGTGTCCCAGGGCTTGAGTTCTGTGATCCTGGGGTTCTGTGACATACTGAAGGCTAGTAATATTTTCTTTCACATGCAGCCAGTTTCATTTGGGGCCACTTATATTTAATTTGGAAGCTATATTTTACCAAGCTTGAGCTTTTTTTCCTCACGTGGGCTTTTGAGGAATTGCAAGAATAACAAAATGCATTTGTTGTAGGAAAAGGTGTTTTCCTCTGTCTCCCTCTTCTTTCTCTCTCTCATTTGGTAAACAAAGAACAGATGAGAAACATTGAATGTATTCTTTGCAATGAAAGCAACGTACGCTTAGACTGTCAGACAATGTCTAAACTAAACTGCAGTGAATGTGTTTGGCTGCAACACTGCTGTCTCCTAGGGGGGAGTCCTCCAGCCATTCCTCAAACGCAGCAGTCCCTGAGCACTTGTAAAATTAGGAAGTGCATTAAGAAGCCCGCGTTTGAGTAGCTGTTCTGATTGCTGGATGGATAAGCATGTTAGAGGCATTACTTTGAGTTTTAAAACCGACTCCACTTAATCTCCTAAACTTTAGTGCATTGTAAGAACGAAGAGAAGAAAACGCTGTGTGAGACGGCTTTCATGAATTGGGGTGAACTTATATTCTTAAAGACTGTTCAAAGCTTACTTGACCTTGGGAATTAGAGTTGACCCGAAATCACCTATCAACTTAACACGCATTTATTTGGTGATTTAGTTGAAACCGCTTGTATAATCAATGGGACTCTAATAAGAGCGATATGTTTACTCTGCTTTCCACGATTATAGACAGTCGATGGCTTTGGTCATAGAAATCATTTTCACAACTTCAGAATAGAATATTTTATAGAACTCTAGATTCCATATAGATCTGTTTCTTCTAATAATATGATATTTTCCTCATTTCTTACAAGGCAGTTTGGATGGAAAACAGAACTGAAAAGGACCAAAAAAATCGTGGGAAAGCTGTAGGGCAAATGGAAATACAGTGTTCAAGGTTAATGGAAAATGTTTGGGGTAACCGGGTTGATGAGAAGGGAGGCAGCCCAGTGGCATGGCACTGGCTGAGAAACTAGACCTCGCCAGAGGCAGCCTGGCTGGTGTGGAAAACCTTGGTGATAAAATGTCGTGGTGGGAACCTCTGCAGTGTGTGTTAATACAGAAGTTTGGAGACAGAGGGCCTGAATTATGAGCAGCGAATAACATCATAAATGTAGCAATTCTCAAATGCCAAATCCTTGTGAAAAGCAGTTGGATGGAGAAATGCTGGAGCTTTTAAAAGCTCCCTTTCACTCTCTCTCTCTTTTTTTTAACTTCATGCAGAACTAATTTTATACACTGTTCATTTGATTTGAAAATGCCAGCGTCTGGGGTATCATTAAAGAGCGTTACTGAGGGAGCCACTCTTGGCAAAGCATTTTGCTTAAAATGCTTATTTGTTCTTATGTCCCTGCAGAGTTGTAGACAGGAAGGAGAAAGTATACCTCGATTTACCTCACGCCGTTCCTCTGCCTCAGCCCGGAGCAGGTAGTTTCTGTGGGGAGGCTCCTTCTCCTTGGCCTCTAGAGGCGCCAGGAGGGTCGTGGGGGCCACATTACTTAAGGAATAGACATAAATAGATTTTGAAAGGTCCACCCCAATGTCCTATGACCAAAGCCTCTTGGAATTTCTTTGATTTCTAGTTGACATAAATTAGAATTACACAGGCGTGAAGAGTCCGCCCAGAAAAGATCAGAGAGGCTGCCGGGGGAGGAGAAGCCTCTGTGTGATCCTATTGATTATCCAGCTGCCTTCAGGCCAGGGGC